TTTATCCCCAGCTACCTGCCCTGCGGTCTCCCAAGACTCCTTGTCTTTGAGCAGATGCCACCCTCAGTGAGGTTACCTCAACTCCATTTAATATAGCAACTTACCCACTCTCACCCCTAGAACTACCAAGCCCCTCCATGTGCTGTTTTTCTCTCTCCCTAATGCTTAATACCGGCTACACCCACACTACAGACAAAAACATTGTTTTTGTCTGTTTCTCCTTGCTAAAAAGCTCATGAGGGCAGGGCTCTACCTGCTTTATCCACTGTGTTCCCAGGACCTAGAACAGTGCCTGGCATGTAGCAGGAATTCAATAATTATGGCAGGAAGGAAGGGAGAGATGTGTGGATAAGAAACAATAGCCAGGAGAGGGGACTGGGGCTGGGGTCAGGTGGCCTATTTGGGGGGACAATGTCCAGGTGCCTTTTGTTCCTCTGCTGAGTTATCAGGAGCAAATTTATCACCAATCCTGGGAGCCTGGAGGGATGCGAAGATCATTTGTACAAAGGAGAGAGTGGCAGTGCTCCAGGAAGGAGGGTCACCCAGCGGGACCCAGCGTCTCTGGACAGTTTATTTCACATGGGGTGAATCTAAGCATCTCAAGTGTACACACAGAGCCGAGGACAAAAAATGGGAGAGCATTTAACTTCCTGAAAACGCTTTATAATAGTGCAGACAATTATATATGGCCAACGCCTTCAAAATTTAAACCCTTTAAACATTTAATTCTTCAGCATTAATACACACAAGTGCTATTATAGGGGTGGGAGGGGTGGGCAGATTGCAGCCCCCATAGGGATCAGAGTTTCAACAGTGTTACTTATAAATTATATTACATCAATTTTATTTACTGATCTAGGCAGCCAGAGGGTGGAACGATATACAATTTGGAGTAAACACATTCATACTGGGATGAGGAATGCTGGCAGGAGACACAGCTTTATAACATTAAAAATGTATAAAGTATTTAGCAAAAGTTACAGAAAACAGACCAAACAAGCAAGTTTATTTTGTTAGAAAAGTCCACTTCCGTAGGGTTTGCTGATGTGCTCGTGTCTATGAAAGGGCCGCGCCCCCTCCCGCCCAGTTACCTCCTTCCTATGGGTAGGGCAGAGGTGTGGATTTGGGGCCCATCACCAAGGGTGGCTGGTGTCCCTTTGACTGTCTCTCCCTGGGTCCACATGGCTGCCTGGAGGCTGTGGCTCCCAAGAGCCAGTCTGCTGCTGCATATGAGGCTGGAAGGGGAGCGTCTCAGTTGACAGAAGAGTCCACAGAGGTCCCAGGAGGGGATGTGACAACTTCAGGTTACAGGGCAAATGAGACAGTAGAGTAGGCCCAGTCCAGTGTTCTTGCCCCTGGGACTTCTCTGTCCCAGTGTCACACTGTCCCCATTAGAGCATCCATGTGCCAGACCCTTTGCAATCCCATTAAGAATTTCCCTGAAACAAAAAGGATGAATGTGCCCTGAACAGCACAGAGAGCTCAAAGGTGGTCACTGCCCCTCTCCTTCCGAGGTACTTCCCAACAAGGGCCCCGAGAGCCTGGATCCAGCATCCAGAGGGCGAGGGAAAGTGGAACATTGCTTTTTTGTCACCTGTCTTAGTCTCACCCAAACCTGCTGCAATAGGAGTTGGGTCCCTCCCCTTCTGGAAAGGCCTGACAAAAATAATTCTCCTGGGGATGGGTGTGAGGGGTTGATAAGTCGTCCTTAGCAAAATTCAGCCCAGAGCGTCCCAGCAGCATAGCTCCTTGGCCCTGGCCTGGACTCAGGTGTTTTCAGTTTGCTTGCAGAGGTGCCTGGTTGCCTTCCAGGGCTCACCTGTCACTAAGCAAGGCATGATTAAGACATGGCTTGGAGGAGCTGTCACCTTGGTGGTCTTAAGGAGGAATTACTTCATTCTCAATAGCTCACAAAATGTAATTTTAGCTTCATTTTTGTCTAAATGGAGAAATGCCAGAGTGCCCCCCTCATGAGGACTTTAGGTAACACCATGCACTACTGCACTGATGGGACCCAGATTAGGTATGAAAAGGGGGAAGTCAGAGTGCAATAACTGCAGAAAGCCTGAGAGACCTTCTAGAAGAATACCCTCAGTCTGCAGATAAAGCAGAGATCTAGGAAAGGGTCGTGAGGAACCCAAGGCCAGCCCCCTGCCTTCTCATCCATGCTACGTCCATTTGCCTTTCACAGCCCCTAATGCTCAATAAATACCAAGGACTGATATGAGGGTCCCCAGGAGAGAGGGAATCTGCTAGCTGAGGTGCAAGCTTCAGGGTACAGCAGAAGTGAAAGGCAACTGAGACCCCAACCACCCTTCACCCAATCCCTGGCAACTTTCTGCATTGTCAAATCCCAGCATGAATCAAAAAGGCAAGTGTGCGCCCCCAGAACTACCTGTGGGCACAGGTGGCATTTGGAGGAGCCTTGGGGGCTGCAGGAAGCAGCAGGCTGAAGTGGCCATGCAAACAAGCTGAAGACCCTAGAACAGGAACTTCTGGGGCAAACAACTCATTTTAAGAGCAAGGAAGCCGTGGGGTACATCCATGCAATGAAACACTACAGACACACAACAGCATGGGTGACCCAATAATATTCTAGAAAAGGCAAAACTGTAAGGCCAGAAAAATCAATCAGTGGCTGCCAAGGGCTGGGGGGGTAGAAGGAGTAGTTTGACTATGGGGCTCTGGGGGAATTTTTGGAGTGATGGAAATACTATGTTGATTTTGGAGATGGTTATGAGGCTGTATAAGTTGTCAAAATTCACAGAACCATATAGTTCAAAAGGGTGAATTTCACTTTATGTCAATAAACCTCAATACTGTACGTCAAATTCCTCAATAAGCCTGGAGAAAGCAAAGGCAGTGTGTCTTACAGGGGTGGGGAGGATGAGGGGAATAGACTGGGCGTGGCTGAGTAACACACTGCGATCTGCACCCCACTTAACGTTTGTAAAGTGCTTTCCTACCTACACAATAACCAGCAGGTCTGCAGAATCCTGTGCAAACTCTCCATGCCAGGGCCACTCACAACTGGAAGCAAAATCACTTCAACAAGCCGAGATCTCTGACGTCCTTTGAATTTTATGGCTTGCATTTCCAAGAAGGGACTTGGGCTCAGCCAAGATTTTTATGTACCCAGCCACTAATCTAGTAATTGATTGGTTTTCATGAAGGGAATGGGAACAAATCCCTGGTTCATGAATGTGCACTGTTTCTGTCTGCTCCAGTCGTCAACCAGCCCGATAAGCAGACAAGTGCCTCCTAGCTCAGAAATCCTCCCACCCACAGGCACCCAGCGGAGGCAGAAAGGAGGCCCAGGGTGGTCCCGCTGGCAGAACCTCAGGACAGCCATCCCTGTGGTTCAGTTGGCAGTGCTTTGCAATACTGATAAAAAATACTACCAAAAAAAAAATAAGAGGAACAAGTGGCTTTTCCTGGAGGTTGTCATGGCAACCAGCACACTTTGAACACCATTTGTCATTGAGATTTTTTTTTAAAAAAAAAGGAGGCAGGTGGGAGGGGCTCACTTATTCTCAGAAATGAAACAATAGATGTGCTCAAGAACCTAGATTCACTCACCGATTCTGAATAAACTCAGCCAAATCCTCTTACAACCTAAACGCCAGAACATAAGCAAAACAACAGCCCAGAGAGAGTGTTTGCTGCTGCGATACTCTGGACTTCACCCTGATCTTGACTTCACCCGGAGGGGCCCCGCTGGCAAGGACAGGGAGCTGGACTGTCTGCTCCAGCTCCGCTTAGTTCACTGTGTTCATGTCACCGCACTCACTGGCCATGCTTAGGATTCCTCCTCTTTGTAAAGTGAGACCTATACCTATTTAAAACTAAAAGAAATCTTGTAAGTTCACGTTGCACATGGGCTGCGACGGTCCAGCAACCAGGTGACCGAACCCTGTTGCTGTCACCTTCCACCCAGTGGGTAAATGCAATGTGGCGGCAGTTTGTACTATAATTACGGGCTGCCGTGGGTTAAATGTGGAAGGTGACACGTTCTTTTCCAGAAAGGGCTACATGGAGAACAGAGGGGACGGGGAGACGGCTTGCATGCAGTCACACAGCTGGTAACCCGCGCAGCGCCTGGCCTGTCCCAAGTACCTGCTGAATGAATGAGTGGGTGCAGGTCAGCACAACAGGCAGTGTCTCCGAAAACCCCAGTGCTGCGGAGAGTACCTGTGTATGAATGCCAAGGTGACTGGCCCGCGAGGACCCTGGAGAAAAGATGTCTACACAAAACAAGCCCGTATCTTATCCTCGGAACTTAGCACACTGCTTGGCTTCAGCTAAATGCTTGATGAATGAATAGGGGAGGAAAGAAAAACAGAAAAAGCCAACAGGACTGAGGCGAGGGGATGGGGCGGAAAGAATGACTTCATCAGACAGACTGGCACACGCTGGGCCAGCTCAGGCTACCCTGGAAGAGGCAAGAGAGCTCCCTCTGTCCCAGGGAGTAAGAGAAGGCTCTGGAACCCTCAGAGGCAAATGAGAAAATCAGTGAGCATACCACTCAAAATATGTGTTCATAACAGAGCTATTGGCTTTGAATATTTGGACATCACAAACTAGTTTACTAAGCAATTACTACTAGCACCTGTTTTTAATAAACTAAGAACTGATACCCTGAAGTTGGCGGCTGGTATCACAGCCCAATCCCAGGTCCGGAAGGAGTAGTTCTCCATGCAGGGGACAGATTCATGCTGGTGAAGGCCTTCACGTTGACCTTTCCGGTTGGGATGCTTCAATAGGAGAAGTGACAAAGTTTGGTTTGCTTTAGTATATTGGGCATCTTTCTACCATAAACTACGAGAGAGCGATTCTGACCCAATGAAAGAAGTACCAAAAGATTCAAGATTAACAAGTCATCAGATACTAGCATGTAAGAATGAAAGACCAGCTGGTTATGCTCTGAGAATTCTGCACGCTTGGGAAATGTATGGGTCCTATAAGTCCAAAGCAATCGACGGGGAGGACAAGAAAGATGGGTTGGTTCTCAGGGCGTGGGTCCCAGGCCACAACTTGCCCTTGCTGGCTGCATGTCCTCCTTCAGGTCCCTTTTCTTCCTCTGGTCCTTTTGAACTGATTCTCAAGACTCAATATGATGGAAAATATGTTTGCTGTGGTTGGGAAAAGGGGATAGTAATGAGCAGACCCGATGGCAGCCCTAAAAGCTTCCTAAGTCACACTTTGACCAGATTTTTCTAGGAATTGGGAGATGAAGGGAAAGGTGGTACCAGCACCAAGCAGGGGCTTGATGTGGGGCTCTGGAATGTGTCGAAGTCGCTGAGAGGCCACGGTGGTGGGACACTGCCTAGTTGGTGACAACCTACTGTGGCCATTTTAGTCTTCAATGCCTGTTCAGTGACCACCAATGAGACAAAGCCATACAAGGGACAGTGAACCCAATGCCACCACGCACAAGCAGGTGGAACCATCTGGGGGATGACAAAGACTTGCCTCAACCCATCTCCCACATGGGCTGACCCAGCCCCTTGAAGAGTGGAAGGGGGTGGGGGCAGGAGGAAGAGCATCTGAGGGTGGGGTGGCCTGGGATTTTCAGAGCGGAAGCTTCACAGAGGATGTCTGATCTACTAGGAAACGCCATTCAACGCTCTGACTGAGGGCGAATTTGCTGAATGAGGTAGTTCCATCCTGACCTCTCCAGGCAAGGTCAGTCTGGGAAGACAGGAGCCAAGCCTTCTTCCCAGGACTCTTGATCATGACAGGTGACAGCCAAGAGCCAGGATGTGGACTCCCAGAATGCAACGGGGAAAAGAAATAGGGAGGGCTGCAGAAGATTTGGAGTGTGGGCTGTTGAGCTGAACGGTGCCTTCTATCCATTCTATCCGCGACTGTGATCCTGACACGTAGCTTGGAGACAGAGACCTCCCTCCCCTGACCCTCCAAAGCCCTGGAGACAAGAGGGCCAGCTGGAGGAAGGACCTTGGGGCTTCCAGGGACACAGGCATGGGACACAGCTGGCTCTAGGTGGGGAAATCACCCCTACGGTGCTCAGCAGGGACCACAAAGTTCCAGCCTCAGTTTGTTCTTGAAACGGCAAGCACAGCATGGGAGTTGGGGGTCTTCCGCCTTAGAGACAAGGGCGGGGCCATGGATCCATCTTCTTGGCCTGAGAACACTAGGGACCACCCATTGAGGCCATCCAGGCCACCATGCTGGAATCGCTAGCTGCAGCCCACACCCTCCCCTCTCCTCAGTGGACCAGGAGAGTGGGTGGGAGGTCCGCTCCACTTGGCAGCAGGCCCCATGGTGGGAACCACCACCTCTTCTCCATGGGACCCCCAGCCCCTCTCCTTGGCAGGACCCCCGGGGCCGCATGTGCCCATCTATATCTCCATGTCCACAGGGCGGATGTTGCCCGTCTTGTGCTCTCTGACCCACAGCTCCCTGTCTTTGGCTGGGTCCACTTTTCGAAGCAGTTGGTCCACAGGCTCAACTGTCTGCAAGGGATGGAGAAGAGAGGATACCATCAGAGGGGGCAGCAGAGCCAGGGACATTGCCCTGAGCCATGCTGCTCATATCTTTGCCTGTCAGAGCAGCGTCTCCAGAGGGTTTGGGGCCCCAGGGGAGCCCCATCAGAGGGAGAGACGTGCAGAGGCTGTGAGAGTGGAAAGCTGGGACCTCTCACCCCACCCTGCTTCTCACTCGGTGCACTTGACCCTTTGGACCTTGGGACTGGATGAAAGGGCAGAGTGTCTCAATGGCTCCAGGTCTGTGACCAGTTCTACCATTTGTTCCCACGGTTACCATCACAGAACAGGGCAAATGAAATTTTAGCTTTAGATATGCTGAATAGTTCTAGATTTTTTTTCCTTTTTGGTAAGAAACTCACTGGGGCAGGCAATATCGTCTCCAGCTATAAACTATCATGAGCCCCTTTGCCCTCAGGGTAATGGCTCATGTGTGTTGTAACCATTTCATAGGCTGGGGATGGGTTCACATGGGTGAGCAGGACCATCTACAAGTCCATCCCAAGGTTGTCCACCGACCATCTTCAGGACAGATTCATTCGTAGTGACCACTTAACCTGCCACAGAGCAATGGCAGGTGGCTCTCCTGGCCCCGGGTCCCCCTCGGGTCCCACTGGCCTCCGCCCGGGGGGGGGGACTCACGCTTTGGTTGAACATGTCTGTCTCATGCCGCAGCTGTGTGTACTGGCACAGGTGTTGCCGGATCATCTCCACCCTCTCCACCTCCAGCCGCTCCAGCTCCTGTGCAGGAGGAAAGACCGAGACCTCTGGGCATGTCCCCTCAACACGGGGCCCTTCCCACCACGCAGGTCCCAGACCACCCTCTCACACAACACCAGTTGCCGCCTGGTTAGGCTGGATCCTGTCTGACCCCCTGGGGCCTGATGAAAAACTCGACCCACATCTAGTGGTGAGATGACGCTGACACAGCAGCTGTATTTCCTGACTCCTGCCTGCCAGGCACGGCGGGTGCTGAGAGGTGTATAGGTGTTCCTTAATTGTCCTCATAACAATAACCTTAAGAGATAGGTTCTGTTCTTATCTGCATTTTCTAAACAAGGGAATGAACATCCAGAGAGGTAACGTCGCCTTCCCAAAGCGACATGGAATTATGGGAGGAGCAAGATTTGAACCAGGGTCTGCAGTGGTCTTAACCGTGATTCTGCACCAGAGCAGCGGCAGCTCCGGGTGGGGTGGAGAAATGGGAGTGTCTGGGCCTCCCTGGGCCTCTGCTGAGCAGCCTCTGTCCTCTGTCCACCCATGATCAGGGACAGACCAGAGGACAGGCCAGAGGAGGAAGGGGGCCAGGAGTGGGGTGGACACTTTCAAAGGGAAGAGTGGAAAGGGTTTGTCCCTTGGTTTCTAGGTGGTTCCACATCTATGGAATTTAGGAGACAGGGCTGTGATTCTCTGCACAACTAGGTCACTGCTCCAGCGATTAACCGAGGAGGGGGAGTAAAGTGGGGGCTTAATTAAGAGATTAACCAGGAGGGAAACCAGGTCACTGTCCTGTGCTTTGGCAACAGGGCGATATGATAAACACCCGGAGTGATGCTCCTTCCTCCTCAGGCCCAGCGGCCCCAGTGCCCACCGCACTTCACTACATACTAGTGCTGACTGAGGAGGAGACACTGCCCCTTCACAAGAAAAGCTCCTGAAGGCAAGAAAAGGGCTCCGATGCCTTTCCCCACAGCCCCGATCATGGGCCTCCCCCCGCTCCTCCTGCACAGTTCCCCAACCTCACCATTTACACGCCCTGCAGGGATCTCCGCCATAGGAGCTGCAACTCTTCTGGGCGGTGAGAGGGCCACGCTTCCTACAACTTGACTATTTGTCCTAAGGGGGCCACTGTCAACTCAGTTGGGGACCCTCAGTTGAACCTGATCCCTCAGGGGACAGCCAAGGAAGATACAGCAAGACCCAACCCTCACCCATGTTTACACAGCTAGGAAATGCCAGAGCAAGGGTGTGAACCAGCACACACTTGCCCAGAGTCAAGGTCCTGACCCCAACATGAGCAGATATGACCATCTCCACAGTCACCTCCACTCTATCGCCTGCATGCCCACCGGCACCCACCCAGGGCGTCCTGAGTGCCAGTCACCATACTGGCATGCCTATACATCTCTGGGCACTCACCAACGTGGTGGTCACCATCTCTTCAAACCACTTGGACTGGGCCTGGTTGTAGAGGTCCACACAGCGCATGAGGTCATCTCCTAGAAGAGGCCAGTGCCACGGTCACACTCTGTCCTGTCCTTGCCATGGCTGCCCTGTCCCACCTGCACCCACAGCCATGCCTTCTCCTCTCCTTGGGGTCACAGAGGCCATTGGAAAGTGGGAGCAGGGAGTAAAACGCAGAACAGAGAGGGGCAACCCAGTACCACAAGGGACCAACTTCAGAGTGTGCAACTGCACTTGGCCCCAGACACTAAGAGTTCAGGACAGAGGACCCTCAGTGTGTGGGGGTTTCCGGGGGTGGGAAGAGGGTTTTTCCTAGGACCCCCCACACCCTATCACAAGCCCAAGAAATGCTTCCTCTCTAAAGATGGTAGTTTCATTTCACACTGAAGAGTCTTTTTTGGTTAAAACTTGTCACAAGAGTCTTCTTTGATTAAAACTTGGTACTATTTAAGAGTTAAGGAAGAAAATTTGCAAATTATGTCTGTTGTGTGTATGTGTGTGCACGTGCATGCCCATATGTGTGTGCGTGTGTGTACATGCGGCGGCTTGTCATTCTGAAACACAATGTGTCTGAGGGTTTATGGTTCATCCATGTGCAGTAATGGTATGAAAACACGCACTAGAGTGCTGTCCAGGATGGTGCTCACACTGGAAACAGAGAATGGGTGGGTGGGAGGAAACGAGCTCTTTCTGTAGCATTTTATTTCATAAGAGAGCTGAAACACAACTATTCAGTTTTGATGGCTAGTCTATTGTTTTCTGCAAACACTTTGTAATTAGAAAGAAAACAAGCTATAAAGTAATTGCAGACATTACTAAGGTACCAGCACCCCAGACCCCTGCTACACAAAACACAGCTCCGAGAGCAGCAGCGTCAGTATGCCCTGCAGCTTGCCAGAGGTGCCGCTCTCAGGACGCACCCTAGGCCTGGCGAATGGGAAACTGCGTTTCCCAGGATTGCCAGGTGGTACACGTGCACCTCGGGGCTAGAGAAGCCTGGCACAAACCAAACCGCAAGGCTAGGAGACAACAGGAACAAAGGCTGAACTCATGAAAACCTAAAGGATTTATTTTGAATTTGGCTCAAAGGTGAGATCAAGTCACAAATAACAAAATATCTAGAATATGAGTATGAAAACTCTGCAAATCGGAACTTGTGGAATATGGTTTAGGCAGCGGCCTGAGGAAAAATAAGTTTCTGGCGGCCTAAATACAGGGCGGGGCAAGAGTAGGTTTACAGCCGTACGTATGGAAAATAATACAATAATTAACAGATAATACAAGAATAAACTCTGTTTTGCACACTCAGAACTGTAAACCTACTTTTGCCCCATCTTGTATTTAAATATTTTTAACCTGATGCAAAAAAAAAAAGTAAGAAAAAAGTGATTAAAAAAAACTCTTGAAAGCGGAAGCTCTTTCTAAGTTAGTCACAAAACCTAGACTACGTCAGAGAGAAAAGATCACTATTCAGAAAAATAACAAGAAATAAGCCAACTCCCCCGCAAAAAAATACAAAGAGCCAAATTAAAAGATAAACAACCACCTAGAAAAAATATTTGCAACTCAAATGACAAAAGGATAATCTTCCTAACATATAATCTCAGTCAGTCAGAACACGACCAGCCACTGACTAGAAAATGGGGAAAGAATATGCGTTACTCGCTTCAGTAAGTCTGTTTTTTAAAATGCTCAACTTCGCTCAAAAAGAAACGTAAATTAAATTAGCAACAAGATATTATTTTCCGCGGAGAGTATGCTGCCACGATTTGATAACACACAGCGCTGACAAGAGTTCAGGGAACAGCNATTTTGATGGCTAGTCTATTGTTTTCTGTAAACACTTTGTAATTAGAAAGAAAATAAGCTATAAAGTAATTGCCAACATTACTAAGGTACCAGCACCCCAGACCCCTGCCACACAAAACACAGCTCCGAGAGCAGCAGCGTCAGTATGCCCTGCAGCTTGCCAGAGGTGCCGCTCTCAGGACGCACCCTAGGCCTGGCGAATGGGAAACTGCGTTTCCCAGGATTGCCAGGTGGTACACGTGCACCTCGGGGCTAGAGAAGCCTGGCACAAACCAAACCGCAAGGCTAGGAGACAACAGGAACAAAGGCTGAACTCATGAAAACCTAAAGGATTTATTTTGAATTTGGCTCAAAGGTGAGATCAAGTCACAAATAACAAAATATCTAGAATATGAGTATGAAAACTCTGCAAATCGGAACTTGTGGAATATGGTTTAGGCAGCGGCCTGAGGAAAAATAAGTTTCTGGCGGCCTAAATACAGGGCGGGGCAAGAGTAGGTTTACAGCCGTACGTATGGAAAATAATACAATAATTAACAGATAATACAAGAATAAACTCTGTTTTGCACACTCAGAACTGTAAACCTACTTTTGCCCCATCTTGTATTTAAATATTTTTAACCTGATGCAAAAAAAAAAAGTAAGAAAAAAGTGATTAAAAAAAACTCTTGAAAGCGGAAGCTCTTTCTAAGTTAGTCACAAAACCTAGACTACGTCAGAGAGAAAAGATCACTATTCAGAAAAATAACAAGAAATAAGCCAACTCCCCCGCAAAAAAATACAAAGAGCCAAATTAAAAGATAAACAACCACCTAGAAAAAATATTTGCAACTCAAATGACAAAAGGATAATCTTCCTAACATATAATCTCAGTCAGTCAGAACACGACCAGCCACTGACTAGAAAATGGGGAAAGAATATGCGTTACTCGCTTCAGTAAGTCTGTTTTTTAAAATGCTCAACTTCGCTCAAAAAGAAACGTAAATTAAATTAGCAACAAGATATTATTTTCCGCGGAGAGTATGCTGCCACGATTTGATAACACACAGCGCTGACAAGAGTTCAGGGAACAGCCAGCCATCAGTGCTCTTGGTGGGCACCCCCGGAAAGCAGAGTGGGTACAGCACTCTGACCAGGAAAGTCACCCCCCTGCACCCCCTCGCAGGGCCAGGCCCGCACGCAGACGCTCACAGTAACACCACGGGAAAGGCCTCCCGCAGTCAGGGACGCGATGGAATGAAGGTGGACACCTGGATCCCATGCAACCATTGAAAAAGGCTGATGGGCCAAAAAAAGAGACATCGTCCATCCCCAGTGAAATGCAAGGGATCCGCTTCTCTACCCAAAGAGGCACATCAGCGACCTACTCCAGACCGACAAGATCTAGAACTTCATTTTATATCTGATGAAGAGATGGAACAAACCGAAGGACCGAAAACACCATTTACAGCTCGGTCCGACAGTGACTGATTATGAAACGGATGACCAGGATTGAAACAAGATTTTGACCGTAACTCAGGCACCACTGCACACGAGAAAACATCCTGCAGGAGATGGAAGAGGCAGCCACATGTCTCGGGCGCAACGTCCATCGAGCTCGCTAACGTTGTCGGTGGCTGCGGGTGTGATGGGAACGGGCCCGGGGCGGAGAGCGTGGGAACACGCAGCAGGAGTAACTGCTGCGGGCCAGCACCTTGCTGCTGGTGCGACGCCGCGTTGTATGTTGTTGTTTATGTTCGCCTAAGCTTTTGTTTTTGTTTTGTTTTATGGGGTTTTGGCTTATAAAATTTTAAATATAAATAATTGAAAAATTTCCCAGAAATCTATCTGATAGTCACAAACTGAGAAATAATTTTATTTTATTAAAATGACAGTGAAACAAATACTGAAATTACAAAGAAAAAAAAAGTCTGATGTATGTGAATGGATGGGATTAAATATATAGGTAATGGAATAGAGCGATCTCTAAGATGTGCCAATTAAAATGTAACTTCGGAACATAGAGTATATGATCTAATGTGTGTAAATTTAAATATAAATATTAAAAACATTTAAAAAATTAAAACACTAAGAAGTATTGATGGTGATTATATTTGGCAAATAAAGATTTTATATTCTTGTGAGCTGATTAAAAATGTTTTCCCAAGCAAAGATAGATTTTGTAATATAATTTTAATAACTTAATTAATTACATGAATCTAAATATGCCTCTCCTCATCCTGGGTTTTCCTTCCCAATCTCAATAAGGATATAATGCCTTCTATTTCTGGACCTGGTAATTTATCACTGTGCATTGTAAGATCTTTATATCATATGTTACATTTCTATTATTTTTCTATTGACTTATTTTTAAACCATCTTATTTCAAAATGTCCATAAGGTGGCTGCTTCATTCTATAATGAGTTAATTGTACCAGGTTCGCCAGAAGTTGAGGTGAAAGGGACCTAGACCATCTGATCCGAGCCCTAATCCTACATCACACACTTCAGTCCCAGAAAACAGTGTGCACTGTCCTTGCGTGCAGTGAAACACTTTTTTTAGAAATATTTGATAAGTTTGTACTAGTTCTAACTGGCCCTTCTCCCCTTTCCTTGGGCATTAGCTAGCTTTCACCACTAGGTGGAAGCAGAAACCAACTCACTGGAGGCATCTTTGGGGGAGAATCTGAAATGTGGTTATTTCGTGAACAACCAGGGCAAGAGCCCATGACCATAGGTGCCATTGGTGACCCTCTGGAGTATCACTCCCTGCATGGGTGGGGCTTGTACTTCTCTTTGGGGCTCCACACAGTGACAGGCGCCCTGAATTCCAGGTGCAGGAAGGAGCAACCACTTCCTGGTGAGAGCCAGACCTGGAGACGACCTTGCCCACTCCCCACTCCACAGCCCCTTCCCCGCCCTCCCGGGGCTGCACTTCCAGGCATCCCATCCCCCGGCCTTTCCTGTGCTTCCCTGACCAGGGGAGGACAGGTAGGTGTGGCCCGGCACTCACCGGCCTGCGTGGACTTCCTCCGAGCCTTCTTGATGTCCTCCTCTGTCTTGTTGCTCAGCTTGATCTCCAGCTGCTGGGTCTTCATCTCCAGGTCTCTCTGCCGCTCTGTGAGTGCTTTCCGGGCCTGGGGGCCAAGGACATGGAAAAGCTGCTCATAGGGCTCAGAGCCAGGAGGGCCCCCCGGGGCCTGGGGCCCGGCCTCCCCCGTTTCTAGGTAAGAGTCCTTTCTTTTCCGTTTTTGTGGATGATGCCACCAAAGCCAGGAGAAGCTCAGCAGTGAGACTAACATCCCTCGGCCAGCCAGTCACCGTGCTGAGGCTTCAAGGCGTCCCCTTATCCCCATCTCTCAGCTGCACCCTGGCTTGGCCTCAGCAAGCTGGCAGAGTCTAGGGTGCCTGCAGCCATATGCTCCCCCTTCTCTAGCACCCTAAGTCACTGTGGTCAGCCCCCAGGGAGAGCTCCCTTCCCTCCAGTGCTGGCCATCAGCAGCTCCTATCGAGCTCAGATGCCACAGACTTTTGGGAGGGGGTGATTCAGCCAGGAGAGAATCTGCAAGGTGAGGCCCAACAAAGGGGCACGTGTAGACCGGCAGCACATCCAGGCTCCGTGTCGCACGAAAGCACGGCTGTACCTCCTCTCAGGGACCTGATGGAGCCCACTGCATCTCCCACTGCGGGTGCAGCCCCCCTGCTTCCCCTGGCCCTCTGGGCAGCGATCTGAGTGCCACAGACCGCAGCTCCTACCTGCCCGTTAAGGTGGGGGGGCTCCTCAGGCGTGGGCTGGAGTCCTGCTCAGCCCACCCTCTTCCAGAAGACCCCCTGCCCCCCAGGGTCCTGGGCCCCTCACCTTCTCCACGGCAGCGTAGCGGCTGGCAAGCTGCTTGCGGAGGTCAGCAATGTGGTGGTCGCACTTTTTCATGTCTTTCTTGAAGTTCTCACGGAAGTTCATCAGGGGCTTCTCTACCTCGCTGTGAAGCTGTGGAAGAGACAGCGAGGGGGACATACTCAGGACCCAGGGCATCAGCTACTAGTAAGTGAGGAGGGAGGGAACTCCACCCCCGCAGGTGAGGTGGGGTCTGGGGCAGCGGCCTGGCCCCTGACAGGAAGGGTACAGTTGAGTGGCCACTTATGAGGTCAAGGTTTAGGAAGTCACCTTAGCTGGCCAGGCCTGTGTTCACAGTGATGATGGACAGGTTAGGCCCTGGAGCTTTCTGAGCCCCTTGTTGGCTACTTCCTTCCTCCTCTAAGCTCCCACAGTTTTTTTTTAAATATATCTTTATTGATTTCAGAGAGAGGAACGGAGAGGGAGAGAGAGAGATAGAAACATCAATGATGAGAGAGTCATTGATCAGCTGAAGCCTGCAACCCGGGCATATGCCCTGACCGGGAATCGAATCCTGATCTCCTGGATCCTAGGTCGATGCTCAACCGCTGAGCCACGCCCGGCTGGGCACTCGGACAGTTTCTTGGAGGGCCCTTACCTTCCAAACTGGAAGCTTCCTGGGGCAGAAGCCAAGCCACCACCTCCGTGTCCCCAGGCACTGATCACTGGCATGGATATAATTTAATTTAGGTGATCGGAGGTCAGTGCTGTTTGAGCATCTGCTCTATGCCAGGTGCAGAAACTATGAAGGAGATCTGGACACGGTCAAAAGCTCGAAGAATCTACGGTGGGAACCACCTGAGACCCAGTGGAAACTCACAGGGCCGCTCCGGTGCACTGTACCCGGGGGAGGGGGTTGCTTGTCTCACTGGTCTGCATGGAGACTGGCACAGGTCCCATCCCAGCACAAGGACCCGGCCTCGCATTCTGAAGGCCAGAGAAAGAGGCTTATACTCTAAGAAGAGCAGCAGGTGGTATTTTTCAAGCATTTTCCTTCTCTTTTATTTCCCTCTTTCCCACTCCTTTTTGAGGGAGAACTTTCACTTATAACGCTTTTTTTGGTGTGAACATGAGATGTATTTGATAAGAAAGATCACTGTGGACCTGCTGCCCAGCCAGGTGAGCAGCCCAGGGCCTGGCTGAGTCAGCCTCTCAGAGCCCCCACCCAACCCCTGAACCTAGAACCACATCCAGCTCAGCCTCCTGCCCCAGGGCCCCTTGGCCTCCCCCGCCCCAGAAGTGCCTCTGAAAAGTTCACCTGCATATGCCTGGTCAGAGGAAAACACGCACACACACACATACACACCACACCCCACACCCCACGCTGGGATTCTGGGATTTCTCTCTTCCCCCTCACAGGCTCTTGTCACGTGATCTTTTTCTCTGGCGACCTCGAGGGCTTACGTGTTTCTACTCAATGGGTTACACTGACTGTGAGTTCCAAGAGGGCAGGGGCCTTGCCGGCTTGGCCACTAGAGTCTCCGCACGTGGCTGGAGCTGGTGCGGAGTGAATGCCCTTTCACAACTTGGGTAATGACAAAATCTTCAGTGTCCAGTGCCTTGAGTGACAACAGCTTTGTTGTTGGATGACTTTAAAGACTAACAGGGAGTGAGCCGTCCAAGCACCCCTCTCCCTCCTGATGTTAGCTGTAATTCTCTGCTAGTATTGTTCTGATCGCAAGCAGTTTCCTGTATGGAAAACACCCCCACCTGGTGGCAGTTTGCAAGATGCTAAAGACTTGAAAGCTATGGAGGACACACAACCCCTTTCCCACACAGGTGAGGTGTCCGCTGAGGAGGAGCTGCAAAACTCAGCTACCATGGCATCCTGCTCCGGACTGGGGTCTCTTTCTGAGGACATGGAAAGAGCTGATGTCTAGACTTCAGTGCGCCCAGGAATGACCTGGAAGGGCTTTTCAACACTCAGGATTCCTGGACCCCAGCCCCAGGTTCTGCCAACACAGCAAAATGCTTTCCCCAAATTCCAAATCACATCTGAACAAAGAATGCTACTAGCTGCCAGAGGTGACTCAATCCCATGGATTCTCCCTCTGTATTTTATTTTTAAATATATCTTTATTGATTTCACAGAGAGGAAGGGGGAGGGAGAGAGAGAGATAGAAACATCAATGATGAGAGAGTCATTGATCGGCTGCCTCCTGCATGCTCCCTACTGGGGACCGGGCCCGCAACCTGGGAATCGAACCTCCATCTTCCGGATCATAGGTCGATGCTCAACCACTGAACCATGCTGGCCGGGCTCCCTCTGTATTTTAAATATTTTTAAAAGACATACTTTTTCTTTTTAAAAAAGTGGGCTGGGTGGCTTTTTATACTCATTGTTAACTGTTAAGCATCTTTGTAGCTGGGAGTCAAGCCCTCAGAGCCGTGTCCTCGTGAGCGCTCGGGCTGGCCTGTCTTGGATGGGACAGGCTACTGGACCCATTCAGGTGGCCTGTTCGAAACTCCCTCTTCTCAGTTCCCCCTCCTTTCCCCTCACACAGGAGAGTAAGAGAAATCTCAAGATGCAAAAAATGGTGAGACTGGTCCAGTGTTTTTCAAACAGCGGGCAGCTGGGCATAGTGAAATCAGTTTAGTGGGTCAGGAGCAGCTTTCTGCTGGGAACAGACCAGACACGAGGAAGGCATCAGAGTGCACGACAGGCTGAAAGACAGTGCCGCTTCCTGAACCGTGTGTCCGCCGCATACGTGTGTATCTATGCGGACGCTGGGTGTGGAAAGCTGAGTGCTGCGGGGGGCCACGTAGATGCATTACTGTGGGTCACCACCAAATAAGTTTCAAATGAAAAAACAGGAGCTCAGAGATGCTGAGTGACTTGCCCAAGGTCAGGGAGCTTGAAGTGGCAGCACTGAGGTAAACCCCTCCCGGCTTCCACTCTGCCCCGCAATCTTCTGACTGGGTGCATGGCCTCTAAACGCACGATCAAGTTTCCTCCCATCACAAGGAATTTTCCAGGCTCCTCCTCCAGCAGAGCCAGGTACAGCTTCCTTTGTGTACAGCAATCATTTCTCTTTAGCAGCCCGTTGCTGTTAACAATGGCTTGAACTAGTAGAGGAGGAAAGCCTGGACCATTGTGTAAAAAACTGCATTTCTTCAAGGGCTCTTACCCTGACACAGACAGTGGAATTTCAATGAGCCTTCGGGAGCAGGGGTTAAAGTGCGTTTGGGGCATATTGAGCCATATTATCTATGGCAAACAATGAGTCCTTGGAGCTCCTTTCTTTTCAGAGAACAGCCACACAACCGCTGGGCGGCGACCACATTTGCCTAAGGCCACGAACACTGACACAGGCTGGCTGCAGCAGAGGTTCTCAGAGAAAAACCTGTCTTCTGTACACATTCCTCATAAGCTTTCCACCAGCGAGTCCTAGGCACCTGGAGGGCCAGCCGGACAGCCCCCGGGAGAGGGCAGAGTGCTCCTCAGCAGGCCACTGCCTGCCTGGAGAAAGGTCTGGGGTCAGGTGTCCAGCTCACGCAGTCCCCTCCACGGTTGCCTCAGTGGCTGAGCCCTCCAGGCTGTGTGACCACAGGCTGTGACTGGACCTCTCTACCCCTTCTCATCTGTGAAATGGAGATGCTGTCCTACGGGTGGCTGATGAAATTGAGAGTAATGTTTCCTATCCTGCACGGGACCATCTAGAACACTCACATGACTATGATTCTGCGATCTAATAACAAATGTATATGTCGGTCCTTATCTTCGGCTCCTGGCCAGGCTCCTAAACCTCTGTGATTTCCTCATCGATCAGGGTGCTGGGAGCATCTTCTGTTCTAATATTTGGTTACCGACCCTGGTTCCTGTCACAGAGCTCCTGAGTCCCTTGGAATTTCCTGGGTGACAGGAACCCCTTTTGTTCTGCTGAGGTGACTCTTGGGTGGGCTCCTGAGTAGCTTCAGGATGGGGCTGGTCACCAAAAGACCAAGCCATGATTCAGAGCTTAGAACCCTCGGCCCCACCCCCAACCTCTGGGGAGAGGTGAGAAGCTAGAGAGTGAGCCACCAGTCCCGCCTGCGCGATGAAGCAGCCATAAAACTGTAAACTGCGGCGTTTGGAGAGCTTTGGGGGTGGTGCCCACGACACGTGCCAAGAGGGTGATGCACCCAACTCCACAGGGACAGAAGCTCCTGGGCTCGAGACTCTTCCAAACCTGGCCCTGTGCACCTCCTCACTTGGCGGTTCACCTGTATCATCTGTCGCACCCTTTAACACATAGTAACCAGGTAAATCTACGTAAGTGTTCCCTGCATTTTGTGAGCCACTCTAGCAAATTATCAACCCTCAGGAGGGCGCTGTGAGAACCCGATCTGTAGCCAAGTCAATAGAAGTGTGGTAACCTGGGGACCCACGACTTGCAACTGGCATCTGAAGTGGGGACAGTCTTGTGGGGCTGAGCCCTTAACTTGTGGGATCTGTTGCTACCTCCGGGTACCTAGTGTCAGAACCGAGTTATACTGTGGGCCACCCAGCAGGTGTCAGAATCGGTCAGTGTGGGAAAACCATTTGGTGGCCAGAAGTGTTGGTGTGAATAGCAGTAGTTAAAGGAAATAGAGGAAAAGAGAGCGTGGGAAAATGCCTGGTCACCTGAGTACTCTATAAACAACCCGGTCAGGGGTCCTGCTGATGGGAAGTAGGCGCCACGGGGATTCCCAGGGACCCAGCAGGAGCCCTTTCAGAAGCGGAGGCAGACTGGCTCCCAGCCCCACCCACCGCAAAGGCAGCCTTGCCATTCACCTCGCCAGTCAATGGAGGCTTCTACCCCAGGGAACAGAGCTGCTGGGGGCCAGGAGAGAAGGGAGACCTACAGGAAACAGTACCCGCGATCTGCAGCTGAAAAAGAACTCGCTGCTCTGCATGCAGGGCGGAGAGGGGCCTAGTTCACTGAGCTCCCGCCCCTCCCAGGGCTGGCCTGGCAATTTCCTGAAGTGCCTGGTGCCTGCGGTCGGTGTGCTGTGAGCCAGGCGCTCTCACTCCCATCTGGGTGTCCGCTCACTCCTGGGGCACTAATACCCTTCAGCAGCAAGGAGCTGGCAATAGCACTGTTTCCCCCCACCCCAGCTCCTCATATAGCTCCTCCTCAGTCTCAGCTATGGGAGTCATTCATTCTGCCCTGTGTGCGGGGAGCCATCCTGCGAGGGGGTGGGGAGGCCTGACACAAAGCCAGACTCCTGTCCTCTGACAGTGCACATCCCACAGCGGACCCCAAGGCCCAGAACTGCAACTGCTGTGGGGCACACACTAGAAAAGAGATAGGACCCATGAGCACTGTGTGGAAGCCCCTGGAAGAAGCAGCCATCTTTTGGGGGGGGAGGGGGGGTTGAACCTTCAAGTAGTGAAGGAGTTAGTGTGCCCCCTAATTTAGAAATGGGGCTCAGAGAAGTTAAGCACTTTGTCCGAGTTCCCTCTCAGGCTGTCGTCTGGCTGGTGATGGATGGGGGAGGCCAGAGGAAAGAGTGTGGACCCCAGGAGGCTAAGGTCACCGGGAATGGTGTGCTCTCAGGGTCTTTCTTCTTTCAAAAGGCAAGCATGCTAATGGGTAGCCCCACCAGTCATGCACACTTTAGTGTGAATTATTTCACTTAGACACTTGCTTTCTTTTTCCCCTGAAAAGTAGCCAGCAGCCTGAGAGGGAATTTGGAGGCGTGAGCCAGGGAACGGGGAAGAGAGGGTCATTTGGAAACATGGAGAAATCCGGAGAGAAAGTAGGCCTGAAAAGAGTAGGGGCTCCAGAGGAGATCATCAGAGGGCTCCATTTATTCATTACTCCAGAAAATATTTACTGGGTGTCTCCCGTGCACCAGGTATAGCCCTGAGTACCGAGGGCAGAGTGACCAGAACAAACAGCGCTCTCCTCGAGGTCGCGGCGCTAGAGTCTTCTTAACCAGTGAAAGAAAGGTCAGCGACCCAGTCTGAAATTGTGTGACAAAAACAAAACCCCCCCCCCCCCCCAAATCTCTCTTTGGCATAATGTAGTCTCTCCTGACACCAAGAAAAAGTAGAAAATGCAGGTGTTTTCTTTTGAAAGCCCAGCAACATGATGGCAGGGTGTCGTCATTCACAGGTGACCTGAGGAGCTAAGGGGACTCTCCCCCCCTCACAGAGGCATGCTGGGTGGCCTGTACTGGCTCCAGGTGATAAATCTGTAAGAATTTTATGAGCTGGTTGCTAAAGATAGCCAGTATTAAAATTTAAATGATTGAAATGTAAAAGGAACCAATTGTATTAAAAACAAGGGTACTAAATGCTCAGCATGTGTCACTTCCGAACTATATTTCACTGAGCTCTGTGCTCCCGATGGGTATTTCTGGTTACTGACACTCCTGCATGGGACTGGCAAAAGCACTGTCCCGTTGCATGCCACCGGGCATCTCTTCCCAACCCGGGTTTTGCACATCACAGAAACCGGTCAACACGCACACAGGACAGACAGACAGCCAGACAGCCGTTACAGGCTCAGCAGCCCACGGCTGTGGGAGAAGCGCAGCGTGCCGCGGCCCGGGAGGGTTACCTTGGCGGAGAACTTGAGGTGGACCTCTGCCTCGTCCGCGAGGCTCTTCTTCACCTGCGCCCACGCTTCCCCCAGGGAGCTGCAACACAGAGGAGAGGGGACTGTCAGGCTCCGAGGGAGCCGCGGGGGGCCCGACGGCAGAGACCCTGAGACCGGGCTTGGAGGAGGCTGGCCAGGCATAAAACAAACCTGAGCACCGCGTTTCAGCCCAAGCCTTCCCAAACCAGCCATCCCGAACCGAACCGAGGAGCTGGAAGAACAGACTGTAGCAGACGGAAAAATACCCAGAAACCCGGAGACCGGGGGGAGATGCATGAAGGTGGGGTGCAGCGGCAGGGAGGCCTCCATCGCCAGCCAACTGCTCTCCCCACGCCTCCCCTTCACCCCTCCCTGGTTTGCTGATGAGGGCACAGACATCTGCTGGTAAGTCACAGGGGCAGGACAGATGCCTTCTTGGGGAACAGCCCTTCTCAAATGGAAGGTGCCACACAGCCCTTCCTGCGTGCAGGCAAACTTCTAACAACCTGCTTCCAGGAAGGGCAGAGGAGGACCATCTGGGTCTAGGGAGCTCCAAGGGATGCCCACATGGCAGAAAGGCTCTCCATCATCATCGGCAGGACTGTGGCCCGCCGCTGGCCCTGATTCTGGACTGCGAGCCTTGGTGCTGCACACAGCTTTACTGGAGAACAGAGTCCTCTAGGCTAAATCACTTTGCACTCCAAGATGCTTCACGTAGGAGCAATCTCCTGAAGTCCCCAAGCCCTTGGAATGCACGCCCCCAGGCTACTCTCGTAATTTGCAACTCTTTAACCCCAGGCTCCGGAGACCTTGCTGAGACTTCTAAACCCAGGCAGTAAACCCAGGCTGAATGTTCAGTTGACATCATTCCATCAAAAAGCCACTTCCCCCAGAGAATTCATTACACTCGAGTAGCAAAAGCTGCTTAAAAGACAGCATGCTGAGAGCTTCTGGGTTTGGAGCTGAGAAGCCAGCAGCTGAGATTTACCTAACATCAGAATGGATCCCTTTGGTCACAGCCGAGGCCTGTCTGGCTGTGGTACTGGCTCAGGCAGAGGTGGGTATCTATGGGAAATGACTGACTGAGTTTATCTAGGAGTCTGGCAGCTAAGAAAGCTCCCCTTGGGCAATCCCAGCTAGGGAGCCCATCAGAGAAGAGACGGAGTGAGAAACAGGAAAACCCAAGCTGCAGGCATTTCTCTTCGCCTCAAGGGTCTGAGCTCCAGGGAGCTGTGTTGGGGCAGCCCTGGGTGGCCTGGCTCCTCACCTGACCCAGGAGGCGGGTAGGAGGTCCAGGGCAGGGGACGGAGGGGTGGAAGCAGACGAGGTCATCATACAGATGTGGGACTAGAATACCTGGTCCAGAAACAGACTCACAGATGCGGGGGACCGATGTGCAATGGAGGACAGTCCATCAACAAATGGTGCAGGGACGACTGTATATCCATCCATAGGGGAAACAAGGAATCTTGACCCTGACCTCATGCCATTCTTATGGATTATCTCAGGATGGATCACGGCTCTAAACTGAAGTCAACACTATACACAGCTACGGAAGCAGCCCTGGGGGAAGTGGGAACTTGATTCGAGGGTGATGGGGAGGTTCGTCCTGCAGCTGAGATATATACATCTCGGTGAAACAAGAGCCCACAAGCCCAAAAGGCCCCGGGCAGTCCTGAGAATTTGCATGTCCACCATCAGCACAGCATGTGGTAACTGGCACAGTGACAGCTGTAGTGGCCTGAGCAAGTCCTCTGACGGCTACTGGAAGAACAGGAGGAAGCAGTCTCAGGATCAGGACAATGTCCTTGTCTCCACCTTCACAGGTGGGAGGGTGTCACTCTAAACATGCCATTGGTCTGTCTGAGCTAGTACATGCCCCACGCACTCCCCAATATTCCAGGCCCCTTGAAGCCATTTCACAATTTAGAATAAAGAAATTTATAAAGTTTTCTCATTTGAAGAGACATTTTTCATCAGATAAGAGGGTAATGAAAAATCCAAAATCTGAGATATATTTCTACCCCAGTATACAATCTGAGGCATGCCATATCAAAATGCATGATGCTGTCAAAATTATCACCAGAAAAGACCCAAACCCCATTCCCTTTCCACGCAGGAGAGAAAAACTGAAGGCAGAATGAATAGCCTGCTTTTATTTATTTACCAACGTGCACATATGCTGTGGAATCTATTTTGGACACAGCACTCGAGGGGCAAAAGCAGCTTGAGTCTCCCCATCAGCACCTTCCCAGGCTGCCCAAATCTCTGGGCTCCAGCATTGCGCTTTGAAAGTTTCTAAGTAGACTGGGCTCATGTCCAAAGCTGCGTGTAAATGCAAAACAGCATAGCTGCACACTGTGCATCCCCTCACCCCCACCAATGCCTGCTGGAAGGAGTGCGTGCGCTGGGTTAGCGTGTGTGCAATGGCCATGGGGCACGTGTTCCTGCCCACGCTGGAGGCGAGTACCGCTGATGCACCTATGTGAGCATGTGTTGAGTTCTCATGTGTTTGTAGGTGCATGTGTGCACAGCATGGCGGTGCAGGCCTGACTCGTTCAGCCGGGAGCATATGCTGTGCCTGTTGGCAGGACTGAGTGTCCTCGGCAGCAGCCCAGGCTGAGGAGGTGGAAGCGGGAAAACTCTGGGCAGCACTGTAGTCACAGGGCATGGAGATGCCTAGAAAAGCGCCTGTCCAGGCTGGTGGAGTGGCTCCTCCATGTTCGTCTTCCCTGCCCTCATCTCAGGCCCAGTGCTCGGAGCAGAGAGAGCCAGAGATAACCTCATTTATGTCCCTGGAAGAGACACTGGCCCTGTAGGGCTGCCCTGTGGCCTGTGGCAGGTGGGTTGGTGAAAACCATTCAGAGGCAGCCTCTTGGCTGCACAGCGAGCCCATGCAGAGGCCTTAATCAAAGCCACATGTGGTTGGCAAAGCCCTGCCCCTGAGGGATTTCAAGCCATGCAGGCAGGTCTGGACTTGTTTAACATCACAGCTCTGTGACAACCACAGTCATCCAGGACAGAATGCCTTCCTTCCTCTGGGGCTCACTTCCCCTCTCAGGAGGAGTCAGACACTGCAGAGGGAGGGAGCACTAGATAGAGGACCTCAGGGACCTTCAATTCTAACTTCCTGAGCCTTTGTTTTTATTATTGAGGTGAAACCGCATTTTAGTACATTCACCATGTTGTGGAACCACCACCTATATCTAATTCCAAACCATTTTTATCATCTTGCTATGGACTGAGTATTTGTGTCACCCTAGATTCCTATGTTGCAGTCATAAACTCCCAGTGTGACTGTTAGTTGGAGATGGGCTCTCTATAACAGAAAGTGAGGTTACATGAGGTCATATGGGTGGGGCCCTAATCCGGTAGGATTAGTGTTCTTATAAGAAGAGACACTGGAGAATTTGCTTTTCTCACTGGGAAAAGCCACAGCAAGAAGGTAGCCACCTGCAAAGAAGAGGAGAGTTCTCACAAGACACCAACCCTGCTGGAACCTTGATGTTTGACTCCCAGCCTCCAGAACTGTGATAAATTAAATTTCTGTTGTTTAAGACACCCATTCTATAGTATTCTGTTATAGTAGCCCAAGCAGATGAATACACCAGGAGAACCCCATGCCCATTAAGTAATTACTCCCCACCCTCCTCTTTCCCCAAACCCAGGCAACCACCAGTCTTCATTCTGTCTCTATGAATTTGTCTATTCTGGGCATTTCACATAAATGGAATCATATAATATGCAAACTTTGTGTCTTGCTTCTTTCACTTCATCCACATAGTAGTATGGATCTATACTTCATTCCTTTTTATGACTGAATAATATCCCATCATATATCCATATATCCCATGTGGGCATACCATAATTTGCTTATCCATTCATTTCTTACTGGATATTTGGGTTGTTTCTATCTTTTGGCTATTGTGAATTGGGCTGCTATGAACATTCATGTACATGTATTTGCTGAGTATCTGTTTTCAGTTCTTTTGGGTGTAAACTTATAAGTGGAACTGCTGGGTCACACAGCAATTCTAGGTTTAGTTTTTTGAGGCACTGCCAAGCTGTGTTTCTACAGTGGCTTCACCATTTTACATTCCCACCAGCAGGCTGAAACTCTCTAACAAGACAGAGCAGAGAAGACTACAATCTTCCTTCCACTAGGGATCTTTCTGTAGCTGGGAGGGTGGGGCCGAGCCTCCCCCAGCTCAGGTCCCACCCAAGGAGGTCTGAACTGTTGCAGCTGGAAGGGGACGGGAGCTTGGGCTTCAGGCCCAGATGAGAGAATTCTAAAAGAGGGGCCAGTGTGGAATCCTCTCACACCCAGTTTCCTACCAGCCTGCCCTCAGAGAAAGGGAAGCAGGTGTGGGCATCTGAATAATGGTGTCCAGCTACCAGGGGACAGGGCAGAGGGAGTCCTGACATACTCCAACATATGGCAGGAGGCCCGAACCTTGAGAATGCATGCCCACACCTGGAGCCATGAGTGCCCACCTTGAGCCATGAATGGCTGCACCTGGAATCATGGGTGCCCACCTTGAGCCATGAATTCCCACCTTGTTCATGGATGCCCACCTTGAGCCAGGCCTATAGAGACTTCCCTATGCAATGGGCCCACGGCAATAATCAGTGATCAGTGAAAAACGGTCCCTTGTCCTGAGGGTCTCCTCTTCCTCCCCACTCCCACCGCCGTCCTCCCCACTCACCCCTCCTCCTGTGCGGCCAAGGAGTTCTGAGAGAGCTTAGCCAAGTTCTTCGCATATTCTTCTTCGATCTTTATCCTGCAAAGGGAGAAACCCAACACGTCAGCTCTCCAGTGGGTCTGACCTGCAGCCCTGCCGCTTACTAAGCATGTAAAGGAACCCACTATACCATATGCTCTGCGAGTACGTGGCTCGTCTGTCTGCCTGACACATAGTAGGTGCTTAATAAATATATCTGTTGAATGAATGAATGAACGGAATTGTCTGAACCTCTGTCTGCTCATCTGCAAAGCGAGCTATTCCCAGCTGTCTCCCTAGGTTGTAAAGATGAAAAGCTGCATTTGCACAGCTCCTAACACGGGGCTGGATACATGGGAGACCCTTAAATAAATGCATGTAACTCATGATGGACCACAGAGACACCCAGTATTGTCCTCTCCCTTCCAGCTCCAGAGCTCTGGGATTAGACCCTCCAAGGTGGCATCGGCCCCTTGGATGCAGAAATAGAACCTCTCCTTACCTTGTCCCAGCCCCCAATGCCTCTAAGGGTCAGGCCTGCAAGGCACAAGTATTTCCATGGAAACCAGGCAGTGCCCAGAGCTGGCTGGTTCCATGTCCCCAGGGAGGGGAGTTGCCTTGGATTTTGCTTCCAGCAGGCAGGCCCTTGACACACTTTCAAGGCAACTCTCCGGGGAGTGTCCCGTATTATCTGGGGCATCCGTGTTCAGTGTGTGGTCGGGGTCTCGCGCCCCTGCTCCATCACTCGGCAAGTGGGAAGCCCCAGAGACGCTCCGGGCCGCAGCACTCGCTTCCTGCCGCTCAGGAGCCGACTCCCGAAGGGTGCGGATGATGCAGACGGGCGGCCTCGCCGAGGCCCAGGGCAGCACTTTGAGTAATAATTATTTCATGATTTGGTGCTGAGAGACCCACAGTCTCGCTCCTTCCCTTCATTCCCGCACTGTTCTGCTTCCAGAGCCACCTCCGGCCAGTCTCCAGTTCTTCTCATGTCATCACTTCTGCTTCGTTCGCTCTGCCTGAGTCCCACCCTTCCCAGGGTGACCGGACAGGCAGCCGGCAGCCTCCAGCCTGTGGCCAAGGGATCTCTCTAGGAGCATATCTAACCATGCCGCACTCTCGACTGCAAGCCTCCCAGGGCTCCCAATGGCAACCACATGGACCAGGCACGAGGCCCGTCTGCTTCCAGAATATCACCTCCAGTGCCAGCACCTACCTCACCTCCACCCCTGCCCGCTTCCCTATCCGAGGCCACAGCAGGCACCAGTCATCTGCCCCTGGCCCGGCTCGTCCCAGTCTTCGCCTCAGCCTCCCCTCTCCTGGCTCTGAAAAGCCCTTCCTGCGAGATCCTGAGGGGGACTGAGAGAAGCTGCAGGTCTCAGGAAAGACCAGAGCTCTCAAATGGTACATTCCATTTATTTGCAAACATGACACTTTTATGAACGTATAAGCCATCAGTGTGTTCAAACTCCGGCTTTTACAACCATTTTCCGATTCACCTGTTTTATACTGTTGTTTTCTTGCACCTGAGCTATATAAACCTCTCAATTCCCTGCCAGTTTAATGGGTCATAAAATAAAAATTTCATTATACAACAGAAAATGGGGCTCCGAAGGAGAAGAGGTGCTTTAAGATGCCACAGAATGATTACCTGATTATTGTTGTTATAATTAAAAAAGAAATAGTATCAAATATATTCCATTTACTATAAATATTCCATTTACTATAAATATTTTCAGTGTGGCCTGGAAACTCCAGATAGAAAGTTGTGTGCATATGTAAGCATACGTGCGTGTGCAAGCACCGTGATTTTATGCAAGCACACCTGTGCAAGCACACGTGTGTATGTGTGAACATATGTGTGCAAGCACACGTGTGTGAGCACATTTGTATGTGTGTGAGCATGTGTGTCAACACGTGTATACGAGCATGTGGGGGGTGATGTGCACATGGGAGGGTTACAGGTGTGTGGGAGTGTGAAGTAACTTAACAGGGTTTCAGAACTTGGGGGTGGGTGATAGATAAGGAACTTTGTCTTCTTGTAGCTTTTCATATTTCCATCAGGCTGAATTTACTGACTCCTCACCCATGCTCATCTAAACCACTATTATAATCCCTGCACTTTTCATAAGCACTTTACTTGACTCTCCCATTAGACTGGGTTCCTAAGGCAGGGGTGGGACTGGGGAAGGGGTGGGTTTCTCTATGCCCAGGTCCAGGACACAGATTGGGTTCAAAGATTAACTGAAAGGTAACACTCCCCTTTTATGTTATGCGAAGGGACAGTGCTTCAAATGAGGGCCATGTAGGTAAGTAAAGGACCCAAGCAGTCTGTGGGGACAGTAGAGAGTGGTGGAGACTGTGGCAAACTGGGAACACATGCTCGCTCTACAGAGGCAGGTGATACTCAGCTGCAGCCAACTGACACATGAGGGATGCAGAGTCACGGCTGCCAGACTTACTGCTCTCTCCAGAGATGCTAGATACCCAGATTTTAATGTAAAAATCTACCAATTTAAAAAATGTTGGTTCAAATCTTTAAAAACACTACACAGGCCAAAACCTCAGCCAGCCAGATCTGTCCTGAGGGCCTCAACTTTGTGACTCCAGTCTCATTCTCCCCTTGGTGCTAACCAAGCCCAGAGCTGGGTGTGCAAGGCTCACTCCTCTCAGGCTAAGGGGCCAACACAGGCACTGTCACCAGTGGCCTGAGCAGGGAGGGCCCAGGCCTCACCTTTCCCGAATGAATTCTGACATTTCCTTCTGCATCTGTTTGCCCTTCAGTTGTTTCTGAAGCAGTAGTTCAAACCCAGCCACGGTGCCGTTGCCTTGGGGGTCCTTCTTATCAGCCTACAAAGGAATCAGAAGCCTGAGTTTAGGTGATGGTGGGAGCCAGAGGGAATGGAGCAGAGGAAGACAGACCCCAGGAGGGACCGAGACACCCTGGGCACCCTGGCCTCAGCCTGAGAGGGAGGACAGGAGCGGCCTTGGCTGCTCTGACCCATGTCTCTCCTGGTGCCCACTCCCACGTGCTCTCTGATGGTTAAGCCACCCCACGCCCATACCCCTCAACCTCCCAACCTGGAAAGAAGAAAAGGAAGGACAAGTGGCCCAGAGCACAGGACCTGGTCCCCAGTGACCTATTACTTTCAACCAGGTGGCTGCTGAGGCTGGCTGGACCCTCTGGGGACTTTAAGCTGCAACAGTCTGTGACCTTGGGGACATGTGCCCCTAACCCTAAACCATGCCATCTCCTGTCAGCTTCTTGCACTGCTGGGCAGTGACATCTTCCAGTGCACATGCGTTAATAGTGGCTCTGGAGAGAAAGGGATTGAAGGGAAGCCAGAGTGGAAGAGGGCAGGCTGCCAGGGTCGATGTCCCAGCTGGGGGACCTCAGGAGCAGTTCTTTTTTCGCTCCAAGCCTGAGCTGCTCCGTCTGTGATACTGGAGAAATAACGGCACCCACTGCACATGGTCACCTCAGGATAAATGACACGTGGAAGTGGCTGAGTACAGTGCTCAGCACATACTAAGTACTCAGTAAATAGCATGTATCTACGACTAGTGACTTTTGAATAAAAGTCAGGACTCAGAAAAGATGGCCAAGTCAATGAAATGGAAACTTAGTATCCAATTCATTTTGCAAACAAATACTCTTAAAATTTCAAAATTAAATGTTTCTGCTTGTTTTACCTGCACTTCTTCAAGGACACCTGAGTATCTGTTTCCTGCTCTCCCCCTGCCCCACCTCCTTCCTGGCACCCGCAGCATGGCCTTCCCTGCAGGACATTCGTCCAGCACCTGCTCTCACAGCCGTGGCTGCTGGAGAACAGCTCTCGAGCCTCTCCAGGTCCTGGCTGGCACCTCCTCCATCACAGCCTTTCCCCACCAGAAATCCAGGGTCAAATACTTTGCTATTTAATGGAAGGAGTTAAAAATATGTCCTCTAACATCACAGGCAGTGCGGGTGCATCAGGGAGAATCCTGGCCCAGGGCCAGCTCAGCCACTGTGTGACACTCAGCTCTTCCCAATCCTGGCTGTGTCCTCTGGCCCCCATTTTAGGAAAGGGCAATGGAAAGGGGTGGTGAGGAGCCCACTGTGAAGTAGATGAAAGGTTTTATGGACGCCTTCCATTCCCTCCCCATGTGGGATCCTTCCCTTGGCTGCCCTGACCCAAGGCCTGCTGAGCCACACTGTAGTCCCTCTCGTGACAGGGAGATCACCACCACCAGCCTGCACCATGTCACAGTGGGGCTGCTCTGGCCATTTAGAAGTTTCTCCAAGAACATTTAGGATTTGTGCGTTTCATCATATAAATGCTACATTTTGATAAAGAAAAAGAAAAATTATCCCAAATACTGAGCCTCAATATCCCCTCACATAGGATGAATATGCTGAGCGACTCGGCCACCCGGGACAAAACAGCCTGAGAAATGGGCTTTTATGACCATGTCAGCAGAGAGATTTCTATTGGCAGAAAAGGCCCTGATGGTCAAGGAGATAAACCCCAGAGCGCGTATCAGTCCCAGGAGAGCCGAATGAAGGTGAGAACTCACGAGTGTTGAGCTCTTAGATGCTGCTGAACAGCAGCAGGGTCACCCACTCCCTGACACCTCCACACGATACCTTACATGCTGACCCCGAGCTCCCTGGGGGCCCATTTCGGGGCTCGGGCTACTCTCCCCCCGAATGCTGTTTCCTTCTTTAGGGGTGAGGCCTCCAACCCCAGCTCCTTTTCTCCATCTCCACAACCCCTTCATGGTATCCTGTGCCCACCTGCTTAGGGGCACCTCCACCGGTTCACAGTCCTCCCTGCCTGGCACATGTAAATCAGATCACATCACATTCCTGCTTATAACCTTCCAGCATCTTCCTACCACAAACAATAAAAGCCGAGGTGCTTGCAGGGCCTGTGAAGTCCCGCACGCTCCCACCCCTGCTCACCCTCACCTCTGAGCTCACCCAGCAGGTCTTTCTGATGCCAAAGCCAGAGCCACTGTTATAAAGTCTGCTGCCTCCACACAGATCTCAGAAGATCTGGAAGACACAGCTGGGCCAATAGGAGCTGTCCCTTCCACGGGACAACAGGAACCACTGAGTATCTTCTAAAGCACAAGAGATTTGGCAGAAATAAAAAACACTTTTGTCTTATACTTGGTGAGCAAATCTAAAAAGAGGCAGATGATCCATTCTGCATGGTGGTAAAAAAGTGTTTTTATTTTATTTCTTGTTCCTCCGGGTTTTTGCCAAAGTTTTTATTTTTATGTGTACAATTCAATGGTTTTTAATATATTTACAAGGTTGAGCAACTATCATCACTATCTGATTCCAGAATGAGGCGATCTCACTTTGAAAGTCGTTGCTGACTTTAAAATGCAAATGCCCAGGGCTTACTGCCAGTTTCTGAGGAGCTGGACTGTGCATTTGTGAAGAGACATTTACTTGTGGAGAAACACACATAACATAAAATTTACCACTGTGACCATTTTTAAGGGCACAGCTCAGTGGCACTGAGCCCATTCACACTGTTGTACAACCAGCACCACCGTCCTTCTCCAAAACTTTTTTCATCTTGCAAATGGAAACTCTGTACCCATTTAACGCTATGCAGAGATTCTGGAACACGGAATTGTTAAAGCTGGAGCTCTCCACAGATCCTTGAGGCCAGCCTCCTCCTGACTTCTAAGGAAACAGGGAGGCCCCAGGGGTGAAACACTTGTCCCAGGTCACCTACAAGCGTGACAGAGCAGGCCTGGAGGCCAGGTTCCTTTACTGAAGTCGACTCCAGTCTCCTGCCTTCACCGAGCAGCAAGGACAGTAACCCTCTGGCTTACCTGCCCAGGGTTTCCGTACTGCCACGAATGAAAACCCTACCAGTTCTCTGAGATTTACGGAATGATCTGGACTCCAAAAGGGTCTTAACTTTCTGCCTCAGGTGCTGAATCTATGGCCAGCCCTTTAAGTGTGAGCTCGAGGCCCTTCATGGCCTTCCTGGGTGTCTGCTCTTGGTCTTGGGGGCCACAGTGTGGGGGAAACTGAGGCACCACTTACCCAGAAATAGTCGCAATAGCTCCACTCCGTTGGTTTCAGCAGCTGCTGCTCCGGCATCGTGTCTGGGTGAGGGAACGTCACACAGTTTATCTGCAGGGCACAGGATAGGAGAGAAATGACTCAGCTGGAGGGTTGGGAGAAGCTGGGAAGGCTCTGCTCCCAGAACACAGCCCTGCAGAGGCCTCCGTTTAGGGTCAGCTTCATAGAGTGCACACTAGGATCTGAGATGATCCAGCGGTCAACATTTCGCGTGGGAAGCCAGTACTCACACCCACCCAAGAGGGGCTGCCTTCCGTAGAAACTCTCTGGAGGGCAGACTAACAGTGTCTATCCAAACTGCAAACATCCAGAATCTTCGACCCAGTGAGTCAAAGATTCTATCCTACAGGCGCGTTTGCACAGGTGTGCACTAACACCCGGACACGGTGTTTCACCCAGCACTGTCTGTGATAGCAAAAGGCTGGACACGAGTCCACTGGCCATCAGCAGGGGAACCATTAAACAAAGCAGGAGACAGACAGGCAGCTAGGGAACTGGCCTGATAAGGAAGGCGTGTCAGGACAGGCTGTGGGGGGAGGGAAGGGAGCAGGTGTAGAAGAATATTTACTGTATGCCACCATTTGCGTAAAAAAAGGGGGGGTTACAGACACATTTGGTTATTACATATAGAATACTTCTGTGGCTGATAACTCCATTTGCTCCCAGGAAAAGGAATATGTGGCTGAAGGTCAGGGGTGAAAAGTTACCTTGTGAATTTTATCTCATAAAATGTATTCGATGAACAAAGAGAGGTTGAAATACTAACCCAGGTCCTGCGTGGAGAGTGCGAGCAGGAGCTGCTGGGATGGCCCAGACCCCTGAGCGTGCTCCCGGAGCCCGGCCCTCCCTGCTTGGCAGGAGTGGCTTTGCCACTGCTCCTGCCAATGCTGCTTCAAGCCCTGTCCTCTCCCATGGAACCGGCTAATTTATGCTCTTTGTAGGAGCTGCGGAGCCCGCAGCCGAAGCTGCAGCCTGAGCCCCGTCTGCGTTTGACCCCTCAGTGCAGCCCCAGCACCTGCTGAAGTGGCAGCCACCACACGGTCAAGTAAGAGCAATGCAGAAAACCTCAGAGGTTTTGACCAGAGGTGGCAAACTCCAATGCCAGGCAGCTCACACAACGAGTGAGGTGCCCGCATCACAGAAACTGCAGCTTGGGTAGGGGGAGGCGAGCCTCCGTTTCGGGAAGAGGTGGGGTCTACGGAGACCCATCTGAGGGCAGACTGCTCTCAACTCCACCAACGGTCATCGAGCCAGAACGAGGAGCCCGATGTCAGGTTATGTGATGACTCGAGAGAAGCTTAAAATCGGGAATTTTATGTGAAATGTCTCAATTTTGAAATGTTGGCCAATTAATTCAAGGCTAATAATAACAAGGTCAACAACAATGTAAGCAAACCAATTCCTCTGCCAGCTGAGCCAAGCCCATGGGCTGCCAGCCATGACCTATTTCAGGGGCCCGAAGGCAGCTGGACGTAAATCTACATGCCCCTTCCCCAGGCTGGCTGCCAGGCTTTGCTTGCAGTCCTGGGAGGAGAGCATGGGAGTCCAAAAGAAAGAGAGCCCCCTCCTGCATCCACCGTGACCCAAGGTGTCACTGCCTGCACAGCTTGCTTGGGGGAGGTCTAGCCTCTCAATGCCCAGGGACTGCTAACAGTCCCCAACGCCTCTTTTCGGGTTTAACACCAAGGTGTGTCCAGAGGTGTTTTCTTTGGGGCTCTGATGACCCCCTGCAGCAGGGGTCTCTCTAGTAGCAATTATGTCAACAAGGGATGGATTCCGAAGTTTCACACAGTCCTCATTTCACATTCCAGCTACTCATTTCAACAAATGATGGTGACCACAGTCCATCTTCATTTTACTTAATAGTGGAGTCCATGAAAATGTCAACCAAATTTAATGATAAATTAGCTGACATTAGGCTGAGTACTAAGAATCACGGAACTAAGAGGTTGAAAGCACTTGGAGCGGCATAAACATCTTCTCAAGTGCCAGGCGAGGGATCTGGAAGGTGAGGGGTCCCTCGCATGGCCCTGTAGCAGCCACCGAAGGGAACGAGCTGGGCTGGGGAACGGAATAAGGCCTCATCCCTCTTGTGGCTTCTGCCACTATGTGAGGACACTGGTCCTTGGATGGACTGGCTGGTGGGGGGGAGGGGCGCGCTGTTCCCACCTCTGTCAATTATGGTTTGGGGATTTCTCACTCCCAGCTCTCCCACGGGGATTTCTCTGAATCCTCATAGAGCCCTGCACCCCCCGGAGGGCATCCCCAGAACTGCACTCGCTGCCTCCAGGAGGCAGTTGTGATGACTGGAATTCCTGGGGGGCCCTTACTCAGGCGCCCTGCCAAGAGCTCTGCAGGTTTTCTCACTTCATCTTCTCAACAACTCCACGAGCTGGGTAAGACTGGCCTCGTTTTATACGAGGAAAGGAAGGATCACCGAAGTATTTGAATGCAGGGGATCGACAGCAGAGCTCAGGCCCTCAACCACGATGCTTGCTGTTCAGTGGACACCTGCTTGTCCACTTGCCACGCTGAATGGCTACTTGGTGTCCACCGAGCTAGATCTAAGCTAGATCTTCCCGGCACCTTGTATACGTACATTGATATTTATATATTCTCCTGACTGTTTATTCTGCATATATCTTCCCTGCCAGAATGTCTGCTCCATGAAGGGGGGAAGACCACCGTTTCCTGCTGTGTCCCGAGTACCTGGCACAGCACAGGCACCTGGTGGGTGCTCACAAAGTGTTTCCTGGTGCAATCACTGGAGGCTAGAAACAGGAGGTATAGTCTCTGCCCTCAGCAGTTTTACAGCCTCATGGGGAGGGAATACAATAAGTAATTGCAGTACTTTGGGGAAAATCTACCCCCTGGGGTAAGCATGGGGTGTTGGGGCTATGCGAAGGGGAGGAATCTCAGAGGGAGTGATACTTAGGTAATAGAGTGGGGTCGAGGCAGAGGGGGGGTGGAAGGTGAAGAGTGTGGCAGGGAGGAAAAGGGCCCTGGAGTCTGAGGGTGCACCGCGTAGATGGTGAATGTGCTGCTCTGTGGCCGGGGATCACAGTCAGGGAGCAGACAATACCGAGGCCAGAGGGGACCTTGCTGGCGTGGGGGCCACGGAAGCATCTGGCCAGGGAGTGACGTGACTGGGTTGCTCTCAGGGTAGGCAACTGGCTGGATGCACTGCAGGGAGAACGCAGCTGACCTCAGTCACCTACCGGGGAGGCTTCCCAGTGACCAGTGGGCGTGATGGTGGCATCGGAGCAACGCAGTAAAGTGGAGAAGCAGAAAAATGTGGGACAGACTTCGCAGGCAGACTACATGCTATCATGAAGTTAACTCGGTGACTGTCTATTGGGGTGACTTTGCCTCCCTACCTGCCCTGGGGATATCTAGCAATCTGGAGACCATGGTGACCATACCTGGTGGGTAGAGGCCAGGGATTCCAGTAAACATCCTACAATACACAGGGTGACTTTGCCCCCTTTGCCACCCCCTAACAAAGTTATCCCACCTGAAATGTCAATAGTGTTGAGGTTCAGAACCCCTAGTATAGTGGGGGGAGAGTCCATCTGGGGAGAGGAGGGCTGTGACAGTGGAGGGGATGGTGAGAGCTGTGGGGTATGCTGATGTCCTGAGCATTTAGAACTAAAATGTTCATTTGCAATGACCTAGTGCAAGCTCACGCACAGATGAGGAAACAGGCACTGAGAGATGAAGTCCCTGGCCCACTATCACGCAGCTAAAATGTGGCAGAGCAGGGTCTGGAGTTGGGTTCCTGGGCCACCAGCCTTACCACTGCCCTGAGCTTCCATGACCTCAGGCCTCAGTCAAGGCTCACATGTCCCTGAATCAGAAGGGCTGGAAACAGGCTGACCATGGGCTCCATACAGCAGGGCTCCAAAGCCCAGAGAGGGAAAGGAAGCTGGGAGAGGCCTTTCTCCACAGAAACCTCCATGTGTGAATTCCCACCCCCTCATGGGTGACATTTTCCATGTGGTTAACACAACCTCTGCACCTCTGGGACAGAGCCTGTCCCCCTCCCAAGGCCTGGGCACAGCAAGAGCCTCAATCCCACTCTCTACCCGCCTATCATAAGGGACATCCCAAGAAACCTTCTGCTCAGACAAGAGCTAATAACGTGGCAGCTACTGTACTAAACATTTACTTCACATGTATTACCTCACTGAATCCTCACAGCAACTTGTCAGGCAGGTACTGCAGGTATCCCCATCTTACAGACGAGGTGACTGGGCACAGAGAGGTTGAGTAACTTATTCAAGATCACACAGTCTGTGTGTAGTGGTGGAGACAGGGTCTGTAGCCAGGCAGTCCCAACATGTTGAGGTGTAGATATGCTGTATCCACACGCAATGCAAGGCTCAAGGTGGAAGGGGAACACCGACAGGGAGCAGGAGAAGGGCTTATGCCTCCCAACGAGTACTGTTTGGGAGAAGTTCCAGGAGCCACTCCTCTTTCCCTCCCCCTAAGATCACCATCCTCAACCAGCAGCATCTTCACTCTGGCACCAGTCCTGTTTGCTCCAACCCTCAGATAAATGGAGTAACAGCTCCTCCCTGACAGTGAGGGTGCTCATGGGGCAGCTGAGGTCCTGCCAGGCCATCCTGCACAGGGGAAGCAAGACCACGAGGGGGCTAGAGCTGCCACTAAGGCACCTGGTGTGACCCACCCAAGGGGCTGACTGGAGAGGCCCTGAGCACACCCTGTTCCCCACCCTCAGTCCTGGCCCCAGCCCAGCAGGTATCTGTGCTGGAGGGGAGAGGCCACAGCTCCCTGCCCACCTATCCTGCCAGCTGCCTGTGCACAGAAGAGTAGATGATTTCACAACCAAGCAGGCCATGAATTTCCTCTGGAGGGAGGCTGATCTATGAGGGCACAAGAGAGGAAAAAGTCAGGGCCGAGTCTGCGGAAACAAATAAATACTCCCAAGGAGCCCCTCTAGCTCACGAGCTCCCACACCAGGTTCCAGGGCCCTCAACAGGCCACAGAGGTCCCGAATTCCTCTTTCCAAGAGGCATGTGGCTGTGCAGCTTCATTATCATTTTGATGGACTCCTCTAGATCCTGACGCATCGTGTTTGTGCTGAGGGCTGTGAGCTGCCATCAGCTCCTGTCACTCTGATCAAGCCTCCTTCATCACTGGCCTGGCCCACAGCCCCACCACATTCATCTGCTTTTCAAAACTCCACCCAGTCCACCGGTGGGTGGGGAAGTTGGAGTGTCCGAATCAAGCTTAGTTCCCACTCCTCAGCCCCAAGACCCAGACTGGCACCTGGATGTGCCACCTTTCCCTGCTCAGGCCTGCAAATTTCTATTCTGCGGGATCAGACAGAATGGAAAGTTGCCCACCCACCCCCAAACGCTGGAGAGAGGTCAGCTGTGCCCCAGGCTCCTGGCCGTCCCTCCCACCCCACGCCCTGCAACATCTCTTTGGGAGACCATGAGCTCAGGAGGGTCATCACCCAGAGGAAGGGGCTGGAGCCGAGAAGCGTGAGTGCTGCATGGAAAGGAAAGGGCAGTGCACAGAGGTCTCAGCCCACCTCCAGCCTGAGGATGGGTGGGGCTACCTGGGTGAACTGGCAGGCAGGAGACCAGGTCAAATCTGGGCTCTGCCAGTCCCTCCCATCCTCAGTTTCCCTAGCAAATATTCCCCAGGGCTCGAGCGTTTACCTAAAACCCTGGGGGTATTGGTTACAATGCAAACTTTCTATCTGGGCCCCAAGAGATGGACTGTAGTCTAAGATTCCACAGAGGGATCCTGCATTTTAACAGTATTGCAGCGGACTCAGATGTCGACTTCACTTTGCAGGCTGGCTCTTGAGAAGCGCTGATTTAGGTCAGCAGGAAGGAGGAGGGAAGGCGCCAGGCAGAGATGGACAAGGTGTGTTGGCCCGGAGATCCCTGGTCAAGCCCCACCCATTTTGACAGGCCGAGTTGCTGGCTCTAAGACAAGGCACAGCAGGGACCTGGGGCTCCATCTGCTGGCCTGGGCACCATCACCAAAGGCCTTTCAGGCAACTCTGGGAGGCCTCACACTCTGCTCTTCGCTTTTCATTTCTCTTTTTCACTTATCTTCGACAATGCCAATAAACCCCCCACCACGTTCTTCTACTCTCTCCCCTTTCCAGAAACTTCTGGGAGTTCCTGCCTGGCTCCAGTACTCTCGGCATTCTGTGGCAATTCGAAGATGAGGACTGTGCCCTCGGGAGGCTGCACATGCCCTGCCCTGCCCCACAGCTCCAGTAACAAGAAAGCTGCTGCTGACCCCGTCCATCTGGGCTCAGCCACCCTTCCCTTCCCCCCCAGAGGCAACTTCCACTGTGGGATGGGTTGCAGGGAGGTAAAAGCTCAGGTCCGGAACCCTAAAGGTTCCCAGCTGTGTGGCCTTGGGCGAGGTATGGCTCTGTTCCTCAGTTTCCTCATCTGTAAACAGGGCGATGAGAGTAAGACTGCGCACTGAGCACTTACTATGTGCCAGGCTTTGTGTTAAGTGTTTTCCACATGCGGACTCAGTCCTCACACCATCCCTAAGGCGCAGATACCCACCATCTCCCCAATGAACAGATGTGGACACTGAGACACAAAGATGCAGAGAAACTGGCCCCAAGCTGCCGCACAGCAGACAGGCCTGTAACTGACACACTGGCTCCAGAGCTCAGGTTCACAGTCACCATCCGGCACTGGTTCCATCACCTCCACCGCACAGCGAGTAGAGAGCTACATGAGCCGCTTGGAACACTGCTGGTGCGTAATAAACACACGCGAAAGTGGCAGCAATCGCTGTTGTTGCTGTTTGCCTCACCGTTCTTCCTCCCAAGCAGGATTTTCAGTCTGCACGCCCAGGGAGGACACCCACTCTTGGCTTCATCTCCGTGGGGGCAGTCAGAAGGCTCAGAACTGCGTGTGACGGAGCCCCAGAGCGACTCCCCGCTCCCAGCTCTGCTGTGCTTGTCAAATGGCACAGCGAGGACCACATTTCACTCTCCACGTCCTCGGCTGCTGGAGCACCTGGACCCCTCGTCTGGGCGCTGACGTCCAGAGCCTACCTTCCCCAGGCACAGAGCTGCCTTCTCGGGTGGGGGGGCTGCGG